TGGTGAATAATTTATTACCGGTTTCTTTTGCTTAAACCCTACAGAATCGCTAATGGTCAGAATGGTTTTCGCTGCTTATTAAGGCCAGGATACTTCCAGTCAGAAAATGTATGCTTTTTGTTAAAAAGTTCAGCAAAACAGAGTTCATTGCTTAGCTCAAGAAATGAAATACCTAACTCTAATTTTTGATATTCACGCATTTGACTTCGTTCGAATCCGGCTTTTTAAGTATCTCTTCTTCAATTCGCATTCCACGCCAAGCAGGATGATTCTCGTGTTTGCTTGTATTATATTGAAATGCAAATATCTATTTGTTTATCGAATATCCAGCAAATTGATTCCTAATTGACGTGTAAAGCACGTCTCGTTTCTCGTTAGGGGGACGTTGATTCTGGTCTTTACAAGGTGAGTGGGGTTATAGAATGCRAAACCTATAAAATATACCGTCCTGTTTTTGACTGCCAATTATCAAACAAAGCAAGCTTTTTATTATGAAAATAAGCTTTAGTTGTCTGTTAAACWWSTAACTCAGAATAGAACTTTTGTCCTGAGAAATGTTGATGAGAGCTCTTTTTGCCAAATCGSCCTCAACTCTAYGTCTACTGTTGAACTGATACTTTTTCTAACATATTCTAAAATCGATTAGCATTCAGTTCTAAAAAACCGTTCCGGGCAYATTTCTTTAAGTTTTTTTTTAGAAGACAATGACAAAGAAGAAACATTTTTTCCCATAGATAATTTTTGTTTTAACYCTGATTAGCGGTTTAAAAACTTTTTCATTTCAGTTTCACACGTAGTGAAACTGTTTAATATAGTTTTGAATCAATCAAGTGAAAAGAGAATTTCGATTAGAAGTTGGCTGGAAAAGCAAATAAAGACAATTTTAGAAAATTTAGCAMGAATGTGCTTTTGCTGAAACAATCAACAACTTGTGACTTTTTAAATATTTGGATGATAAGGAAAATAAACGATGGGTTTTTATTATAGAAAAATGACGTCTTCAAGACTTTCATCATTGGTAAGYACTRATTTTTTATTAATAGTTTAYTAGACACTAACAACTGCAAAGGCTTCCACCATTTCTGATCAAATTGCGATATAAGGGATTTGGAATTTCATTTTTGGAAAYTTATCCTCTATTGGTCTTCACCCTGTAATTTCTTCACTCTTGATGGGAACTGGGCTTATTATGCGCCTGTAGCGTCGCTCAGCACATTGTTTGAATGCTTTTTTCGATGGCTGAACGCATCACCGCTAATGATGCCGATATTTGGAAAGAAGTTTCTGCTGACTGACATTTTTTCCTTTCAGTGGGGATATAAAATATGCCCTGGTTCAATGCTCACCGGATCGAGCTGAAATGCGCTTGTTGGCGAGGTAAAACAGTTAAAAGCATATCGGTCGATTTTAGATATTTTTTACCGTTGTTTAGATAATGGAACCACTAGCAAATCATATATTCGTTACAGATCAATCAAATCGTCTGATTGATATCAGCTTCTTTGTATAATATTCGTAATGGTAGCGGTGCTCTAGAGTCTCTAGAGTCTCTCTAACGAAGAGCCAGCGGCTTTTGCTTTCAAGCGGTGCGTGTTTACGTATAAATACTTAAACGGAAATATTTTAATGGAATATTAACATAGTGAACATTTTATTTGTTGATGCTTTATTTACGGCTGAGTACTTTTCGTTAAATTGGCCATAAATCTAGATGCAAGGGATTCGTATTTAAGTTGCGTGTTTCAAAGTCTCATATTTAATAATTTGTATGCATTATGTTAATTTCTAACAGGCGCATGCTGGAGGTAAGATATTATCTAGATTGTGAAGTATTTCATTGATTATAATGATTTGTCATTAGTTTTTCTTTAATATATTCGTAACTTTTATCTTATTTGCTTTATAATGTGATCTTAATCTTAATATGTGATCACTATAAGGATGTGGATAGCGAATACTTACGCGATCCTGTAAACCACGGCGAATTGCCATCCCATTCTGTAGATGAGCAATTGCAAACATTTAACAAAAAAACAGCGAACGACAATGCAATCTCTATCATTGCCATTGTTGTACAGTTGCCAAAC